AAGAGTATAAGGTGGTTACCAGGGGCTGGGAAGGGTAATGGAGTGTCAGCTGGAAGTGGAGATGGTTAATGAGAACAAAAAATAGAAAGAATGAATAAGACCTAGTATTTTCTAGCACAAAATGTGACTATAGTTAAAAATGATTTAATTTTATATTTAAAAATAACTAAAGAGTATAATTGGATTGTTTGTAACAAAAGATAAATGCTAGAGGTGTTACATATCCCTTTTACCCTGATATGATTATTACATATTACATGCCTGTATCAAAATATCTTATGTAACCCATTAATATATACACCTACTCTGTACCTACAAAAATTAAAAATTTATAAAGATTGGCAAAGATGTAAAAGCTTGGAACAGAAGTGTTCTGCAAGGTGTGGGGAAATAAATATATTGCTTGTGACATTGTAAACTTTGAGCTCCTCGTTCAAAAGTGATTTCACAATAGTCTCCAAAATTTAAAATATACATACATTAAACCTGCAATTTTATGTCTTGGGATTCTTCTTTCAGTATACTCTCACATGGGAAACATGACATACGGACAAAACTTTTTTTTTTCAGCATTGTTTCCAATAGTGTATTAGAAACAATCCAAATGTTCACTTGGGCATTGTCAAATAAATAGGGGTACGTACACACCACATATGTGGATGTACAAACATCTGTTTTCTCATTCCTTTAGTTCTCTCATCCATATCACCTCCTATACTATAGCCTAATTTTTTATGTTTTTTGTAGATTTCTCTTCTCATAGGCTAGAATGTAAGCTTTGTCTGTTTTCTTCAGTGATAGATCCTGAGAGTCAAGAATATGTTGAATCAATAAATACTGTGTGTGTGTGCATTTGTGTATGTGTATTTGTTTGTAATTCCTAAATCTTACCTGCAGGTTTTCTAGATTTAGGAATTACAAACAAGTACAAGTTTTCTGTCCTGAATTTCTGTATACAACTGCTACTTGACATCTCCACCTCGATGTAATTATCTTCCTCTTGGGTATTGAGAAGTCTCATATCAGCATGTCCAAACTCTTGATCTTTCTCCAAATCTTTCTTTCTTGACAGTCTGCTTGATCTCAGTAGATAGAAAATTCCATCCTTGTGCCTGCTCAGTTCAAAAATCCTATAGTAATCCTCCATTTCTCCCAAAACCAGTTTTTAAGTAGTCAGGAAATTCTTTTTGCTCTATCATCAAATTATGTCCAGAATCCTAACACTTTTCACCACAGTAACTGTCACTGCCCTGGTCTGCATTGCCATCATGTCTTGCATAAATTATTGTAATAGCCTCCTACCTCATCGTCCTGCTTCTATACTTGCCTCTGTATAGCCTTTCCTCTTGAAAACAATCACAATGATTTATTTAAAAACATTAATTCAAATTAAATATTTCTTTTATGCTCAGAACTCTGTGCTAGTACCTATTTCACTCAAAGTAATAGCCAAAGACCCTACTATGGCTTGCAAAGGCCTTGATGATGTGGCCCGTGTTAATTTTCTGAAATCATTTCCTATTACTCTCTGTCTTCATCATTCAGACTCAGCTACCCTGGATTCTTTGATGCTTCTTGAATACACACGTACTCTCCCACATTAGAGGATTTTTTCTCTGCCTGGAGTACGCTTTCCTTGAATATATATATGGCTAACTTCCTGGCCTCCTTCAGGGAGATCATGGCCTAAATGTCACCTTTTCAATGAGAGAGTTACCTTGACCGGTTAGTACCCACCCCTCAGCACTCATGATCACCCTGACTTTGCCTTACCTTTTATTTTTATTACAGAGCACTTATCACCTCCTATAATATATATAGCCTTATTTTTTTGCATGTTATAGTTGTGTGTTCTCATAGGCTAAAATGTAAGCCTTGTCTGTTTTCTTCAGTGATAGATCCTGAGAGTCTAGAATATGCCGAATCAATCAATAAATTCAGCAATCTGAAAGAAAATGTAAAAATATAACTATTCATAACATTTATTATATATTTATATAAGTTATAGAAATATTTAATGTTATAATATATAAATTATATGATTATATAAATATATCTCTCTGGAAAACTGTAAAAGAAACTAGTAATAGTGGCTTTTGGGAGAAATAGTACCTCGGATGGGAAGGAAGGCACATTCTATACTGTGAGACTTTGCACCATATTATGTCTTCAATTTAAAAAAGAATAGTTTAAAAATACAAAGCACAGTTGAGCCTAATTTGGAAATCAAAATTGTTCATAAAATAGATCCTTAGCTTTTTGAGTTCCTTAGAAGGTTTTAATTTGTATTACCACTAGGTGGCACATGCCTACTGATAAGTTTCAAGACTCCCAGACACAAGTTTTAAAACAAACCTTTTCAGTTCCCCTGAGTTGTCAAAGTTTATTTTAACTATATGACACTGATTTTTCTCAAAAAGATTTTAAAACTATTTTTCCATACCATTTCCATAGGGCAGCAGTCCCCAGCCTTTTGGGTACCAGGGACTGGTCTCATGAAAGACAATTTTTCCATGGACTGGGGAAGGGAGAGGGATGGTTTTGAGATGATTCAAGCACATTACATTTATTGTACACTTTATTTCTATTATTATTACATTGTACTATGTAATGAATAATTATATAACTCACCGTATCGTAGAATCAGTGGGAGCCCTGAGCTTGTTTTCCAGCAGCTAGAGGGTCCCATCTGGTGGTGATGGTAGACAGTGACAGATCATGAGGAATTAGATTCTCATGAGGAGCACACAACCTAGATCTCTCACATGTGTAGTTCACAATAGGGTTTATGATCCTATGAGAATCTAATGCCACAGATGACCTGACAGGAGGTGGAGCTCAGGCAGTAATGCTTGTTTGTCCCCTACTCACTTCTTGCTGTGCCGTCCAGTTCCTAACCGGCCACGGACGAGGAATGGTCTGACCCCTGCTATAGAGAATATTACAGGAACTGTTTCTACACTATTCCTATATACAGAATAGTATAGCAACTATTTAATGCTACAAGCTTTAAAGTGATTTTTCACTATAATTTCTAATTTAAGATTATAACATTCGACTTGCAGAAATGTCTTAAATCTGTGAATCTTAGACATCCTTAAAATAATTTAAAATTTCCAATATTTAGTGAATTATATCTGCCTATCTTTTCATCTGTTTCCCATGAAAAAACCTTACTTCATGAATGAAATTCAGAGATTGTGTGTCCAAAAGTAGATTTTTGTTCGATCCTATTGTTTTATTGCTTTTATGTCAAGTTGATCAGTGCCCAGGGCCAAATGCAATTTAACTGCCTCTTTCTGAATGCTTTACGTAATATACCATGAGGTGTAGTCAGATGAGTACTGCGGAGGATGCAAAAATAACATATTGCTTATTGCTTCCATCTTCATGGACCTTTCATTTTATTGGTGATGTCATGAACACAAATAACTGTAATAGAAATCATCAAGTAGTAAATTAGTAAATGAAAGTATTATGTGTAGTGGGAACACATAGTTGATATTAATTTGGGGAACTCTAAGAATATAGTGACATTGAGAATAGCTTTAAATATATAGTTTCATTCTCTGAATTACTTCAATATGGGTCTTATATAGATTTATACTTCTGTGTAAAGGGTGAATTATTTTACACATCTACAAGAAAGATATAATCATTATAGATAGGTGTTAATTATAGGTTAATAAAATAAATAGCCATATTCCTTTTGCTGGTAAATACTCAAAATGAAAATGATGGCATGAATTTTATAAATGTAACATTTGAAAACATTATGAAAATTATTTTTGGCAAGTTTTAAAATAACACTGAAAAGATTATTGGACTAGGTCAATTTAATGTTTATTTTTGACACAGATTTTTTAAATTTTGTTTTTGTTATTAAAATATATTCTTTGAAAACCAAATATATATTAAGAAAATGTGCTGTGTACAAGTAAAATAACTTACTGAGTTATTATTATGCCATAAAACTGTATTATTTTATTGCATACTCATGAAACCTTATGATGTATGGTTATTCACATTTTTTAAACAAAGAAACTAAGGCACAGGAAGTTTAAGAAACTTGTATGCATGTGTTAATATCTGCTGTAACACTAAAACTAGACGTGAATAGATTTTTTTTTTTTTTTTTTTTTTGAGACAGAGTCTTACTCTGTCACCCAGACTGGAGTGCAGTGGTGTGATCTTAGCTCACTACAGCATCTGCTTCCCAGGTTCCAGTGATTCTCCTTCCTTAGCCTCCCTAGTAACTGGGATTACAGGCATGAGCCACCACACACTGCCAAATTAATTTTCTTCTAATAAGAAACTTGCTTTTCGATTTGTACCTCTTTAGTGTAATTGCTATGTCATTTAAAAGGAAATCAACATTATTCTTATTAAATGTATTAATTTTTTTTTTTTTTTTTTTTTGAGACGGAGTTTCGCTCTTGTTACCCAGGCTGGAGTGCAATGGCGCGATCTCGGCTCACTGCAACCTCCGCCTCCTGGGTTCAGGCAATTCTCCTGCCTCAGCCTCCTGAGTAGCTGGGATTACAGGCACGCACCACCATGCCCAGCTAATTTTTTGTGTTTTTAGTAGAGACAGGGTTTCACCATGTTGACCAGGATGGTCTCGATCTCTTGACCTTGTGATCCACCCGCCTCGGCCTCCCAAAGTGCTGGGATTACAGGCTTGAGCCACCGCGCCCTGCCAAATGTATTAATATTAACTATTTTGTTACATTGAGGGCCTTTTGTAACTTTCTAAGTGTAAGATGAATAATATTATCACTATTATCTTAGTGAACCAAGCATCTGACCCTTTTGACTATTAATTTGCAAAATTTTCACAATTTTGCTGAATTCTAAAATAATAATGAGATACCAAAGTCTGAGAAATATACCATACAATGCTCCAGATCAGATTTAGTTCCATCTTAATAGTTAGGTGGATTTTAAAACAAAGTTATACATTTAAAATGAATTTTATTCTTTTTCCTATATTTATATAGCCAGAAAAATGTAAGAAAAAAAAGAAATGGTATAAAAGTGCACTAAAAGAAGCATGTCTACTCTATGGATATTCTCATGAGCGAAGACTGGAAATGTGCTGCCTGTCAAAACAACAAGGTATATAATTTTTTTTCTTTATCACTCCAAAATAAGGATTTATTCAAATGCATGTTTTCCAAAGTATGTTTGCTCATTCAAAAGTTTCTGTCACTCTTCATAGGGAAGTAGTATATCATTGTTCATTGGAAAATGTTTTTATATAAACAAATAGCATATATTTGGTCCCCTGAAACAATTTTCAATGACTAAACATACACTTTATTTAAATATAGGCGTTCTTGTTAGCACTTTTGTTATTTTCTTTACTCTTAGTCTATCTACATAGGTCCTCTTGTGTATTTCAAAGACATATATTTCACAATGGGAACTCTAGCTTTAAATATGTTCCTAGCATAAAAATTTCACTTGGATATGCTGTATAAAATACAGGACAGAGTATTTTCAAAATGTTGTGTTTTAAAATAAGTTCAGAGCAGGAGTAAAAGATAAACTTCAACTTTTAAAAAATTAGGTGAAAAATTGTGATAATATTTCCGGTTAGTTTCAAAGAAAGTTTTATTGAATTCTCAGTACTGTGACGTATAGATAGCTTTTTAAGTGAAACTATGTGGAAGATTGTAATACGTATGACATGTTTTTGTATACATTTAACTTTTGAGTACATGTGCAGACTTGTTATATAGGTAAACTTGTGTCATGAGAATTTGTTATACAGATATTTCATAACCCAGGTATTAAGCCTAGCACACATTAGTTATTTTTCCTGATCCTTTTCCTCCTCCCACCTTGCACCCTCTGATAAACACCAATGTGTGCTGTTCTCTATATGCCCATGTGTTTTCATCATTGAGCTCCCACATGAGTGAGAACATGCAGTATTTGGTTTTCTGTTCCTGCATTAGTTTGTTAAGGCTAATGGCATCCAGCTCTATCCATGTCTCTGCAAAGGACTGATATCATTTTTTATGGCTGCATAGTATTCCACAGTGTACAGGTACCACATTTTCTTTATCTAGTCTACCATTGATGGGCATTTAGGTTGATTCATTGTTTTTGCTATTGTGAATAGTGTTGAACATACATGTGCATGTGTTTCTTTTATTTTTTGTTTTTTGAGATGGAGTCTTGCTCTGTCACCCAGGCTGGAGTGCAGTGGCGCGATCTTGATTTACTGCAACTCTGTCTCCCGAATTCAAGCAGTTCTTCTGCTTCAGCCTTTCAAGTTGCTGGGATTACAGGCACGTGCCACCATGCCCAGCTAATTTTTGTATTTTTAGTAGAGGCATGGTTTCATCATATTGGCCAGGCTGGTCTCGAACTCCTCATCTCATGATCTGTGTGCTTCAGCCTCCCAAAGTGTTGGGATTACAGACATAAGCTACCATGTCTGGCTGCAGGTGTCCTTATAATAGAATGATTTATATTCCTTTGGGTATATACCCAGTAATGGTATTGCTGGATTGAATGGTATTTCTGCCTGTAGGTCTTTGAGAAATCACCACACTGTCTTCCACAATGGTTGAACTAATTTACACTCCCGCCAACAGTGTATAAGCATTTCTTTTTCTCCTCAACCCTCAACACCATCAGTTATTTTTTGACTTCTTAATAATGGCCACTCTAGTATGAGATGGTATCTCATTGTGGTTTTGATTTGCATTTCTCTAATGATCAGTGATGTTGAACTTTTTTTCATATGTATGTTGGCCACATGTATGTCTTCTTTTGAAAATTGTCTGTCTGTGTACTTTGACCACTTTTTAATGGGTTGTTTTTTCTTATAAATTTGTTTAAGTTCCCTAGAGATGGTAGATATTAGACTTTTGTCAGATGCATAGATTGCAAAAATTTTCTTCCATTAGTAAGTTGTCTGCTCACTCTGTTGATAGTTTCTTTTGCTATGCTCTTTAGTTTAATTAGATCCCATTTGTCAATTTTTGCTATGTTGCGGTTGCTTTTGATGACTTCATCGTGAAATCTTTGCCCATGCCTATGTCCAGAATGGTATTGCCTAGGTTGTCTTCCAGGGTTTTTATAGTTTGGGTTTTACATTTAAGTCTTTAATCCATCTTGAGTTAATTTTTGTATATGGTGTAAGAAAGTCGGGTGGAGGTGGGTCCAGTTTCAGTTTTCTACATATGGCTAGCCAGTTCACTCAGCATCATTTATTAAGTAGGGAATCCTTTCCCCATTGCTTGTTTTTGTCAGGTTTGCTGAAGATCAGATAGTTGTAGACACATAGCCTTATTTCTGAGTTCTTTATTCCATTCCATTGATCTATGGATATGACACATTTTTACTCTGAAAAGAGTATGATTGCCACATAAAATGATAATTTTTATTAAACTTAAGTATGTTTAAAATTTTTTTTGCTTAGTGATTATAATCGTTTTATATTTTACAAGGCCCCCTTTTTTTTCTTTAAGTTCTAAACAAATGACTCTATGGATAGAAGGATCTGGACTTTGATGCTGACTAAATTTTAAAGTAGCAATGATTTTTTTTTTTCTCCTTTGGGAAACTTTAATTTATGTTTACAAAATGTTTATATGTGAAAAGGTTTTACTTAAGAAAAATTTAAATTTCAACCCAGCCACCTAAATTTAGGTTTTAAAGCAAATAAGTAAGTTTGAAAGGAGTGGAAAAAGAATGACAAGTATACTAATCAGGTTTATTCTCAGGAGAAGAGACATTTATTACTACAAATGTGATTTGATTCCTGTGCCGAAAATATAATGTCTCTGTGTATTAGCAATAAAGGTTGAACACACTCTCTTGTAACAAATATAGTTTTATGGGTTGCGCAGACTATACATTTCTCTTAACCACAACAGCCTTTTAGACATTTAATTTTTTGAACATTAATAGTTTTAAGTAACATAGTCATTTATTTTTTAAACTTATATCTATTTCTCACCAGGAATAGACTTGCTGTCTCCATTGGCTGTGAGTCTTTTGACATGCTTGCCTATCTGGAAACTCTGAAGAAGGATTATTTCTGATTCTTTTTGCAGCAACAGCTCATTTTCTGGCTGAAAATCTCATTTTTACACGCAATTTTACGTAATTCAGCCTGGTTCTTGAGAGCCGTATGCCTAAATGCTTTCATTTTGTCTCTTAAGTAGCCAAAATAGAGGGGCATGAACTTTCAGGACTTCAGAATTCCAGGAGTTTGGTCTTTGCCATAACAGGCTCACAATTCATTATCTCCAAAATAGTCAATATAATCCTTGTGTCTGCTTGGCATCCAATGTAGATTCTGCTGAAGTATTCAGCTTCTTACTGTATTCAAAAGTAGTTTTGAGAGCTAAGTAGCCACTGTTTAGATATTTCACCAAAGTTGAATAACTTAGCAGCAATCCACTTATTTTAACCCAGCAATTTTGAAGGCTTCTTCACCTAACAATTTCTTTTTCAAACCTAGAAATAAATTACCCCAATATTTAGCCTAAAGTCTTCCTAGCATGCAGAAATTGGCATAGTATTCTATCTGATGCAACTCTCTCATTGTTGAAATATGCAGGATCTTTAAATATATGTAAATATGGACCTAATCAGATGATAACCATCTCATCCTCATAATTTAGTTGCCCTGTTTTTGTTTTACTACTACTGTAATTAAGTAATTTTTCTGCTGGGGCTAGAAAGTTTTTTAATCCTATATAGAAACATTCATTATAATTGTACTTCTAAAAATAAATAGAGCATTATTCATATAATGTCTTTATAATTCAGCTTTAGGATTTTGTCAGATTAAAACTTTCTTACATGCTCTGCATTTTAGAGTGGATGTCCCTATTTCCAACTTTTTTCCAGAATTTATGTTGTTAAAAAATTGACTTGATTGTTTAGAGCAGTTTTTAGTTTACAGAAAATTGAGTGGAAAGTATGGAGAGTTCCCATATGTCTCCTCCCCACAACCTGTAAACACACAGCCTCTCCACTATCAACATCCCATACCATGAGATCTATTTGTTACGGTTGGTGAACCTATACTGACATGTCATTATTACCCAAAGTTCATAGTTTACGTTAGGGTTTACTCTTGGTGTCTTGCAGTCTGTGGGTTTGGAGAAATGTATCAGTGACCTGTATTCACCATTGTAATATCATCATACAGAATATTTTGACTGCACTAAAAATCCTCTGTGTTCCAGCTGTTTGTTTCTACCTCCCTCTTATTTCTTGGCAGCTACTTATTTTTTATCTGTCTGCAACATTGTTCTTCTCCTTCCATATTGGGTTGGCTATTCTGCGTCTTTTGCCTTTCCCTGTAAATTTTAGAATCAATTTGTTGATTTCACAAAATAACTTGCTGGCATTTTCATTGGGATTGTGTTGAATCTATATATCAAGTTGGAAAGAATTCACATCTTGACAATATTTAGTCTTTTTATCGATGAACATGGAATATCTTCAAGTTTATTTACTTCTTTTTTGAGTTATTTTATCAGAGTTTGGTTGTTTTCCCCATTTAGATCTTGTACTTTTTTTTTTAGATTTATGCTTAACTAATTCACTTTGGGGTTGTCAATGTAAATTCTAATGTGCTTTCATTTCATGTTCTACCTGTTTGGTGCTGGTATGACAGAAAGCTATTTTTGCATATTAACCTTGTATCCTGCAACCTTGCTATAATTTGTTATTAACTACAGGGTTTTTTGGTTGATTCTTTTGGATTTACTACATAGACAATCATATCATGTGCATAGAAAGTTTTACTTCTTCCTTCCAAAACTGTATACCTTTTATTTTCATTTCTTTTCTTACTTCATTATCTGGAAATTCCAGTACAATATTGAGAAGAGTGGTGAGAGAGAAAACCCTTGACTTGTTCTTCATCTTAGCATGACAGCTTCTAGTTTGTTACCAGTAATTATGATGTTAGCTTTAGATGTTTTGTAAATGCTCTTTACGAAGCTTAGGAAGTTCCCCTATCTTCCTTGTGTCCTGAGGGTTGTTTTTTTGTTTGTTTGCCAAACACTTTTCTGTGATCTGTTTATATGATCGTGTGATTTTTCTTCTTTAGCCTGTTGATACAATTGATGTATTACATT